AACACCTGGCTATTTTTTGTTGCAGCCATCATTGTTGTTTGGCAGGCCCAGGCTGGATTAGAACCCGCCAGCTCAGGTGTATGTGCCTGGCACCTTAGCTGGTTGAGCCACAGGCGCCAAGCCTGTTTCTTTGTTTTTTGAGACAGTCTCACTTTGTTACCCTGGATAGAGTGCTACGGCATCATAGTTCACAGCAACCTCAAATCACAATAACCTCAAACTCTTGGGTTTTAGCAATCCTCTTGCCTCAGCCCCCCGAGTAGCTAGGACTATAGGCACCCACCACAACAACCCACTAGTTTTTTTATTTTTAGTAAAGGCAAGGTCTTGCTATTGCTCAGGCTGGTCTCCAACTCCTGAGCTCAAGCAATCCACCCTCCTCAGCCTCCCAGAGTGGTAGGATTACAGGTGTGAGCCACCATCACCCAGCATGGTCTTTTTTTTTTAAGTTCCATGAGGACAGGTATGCTGAGTCATCACTGTACCCTCAGCACCTAGCACAGTGCCTGACACATAGTAGGCACTCAGCAAACATTGGGTACATGAAATAGAATGATATAAAAACATCTGAGGCCAATCTCATGATGTAGGTACCTTACCAGCACCCATCTCTCTCCGATTTTTCAATTCTGTTCTGCTCAAAACACTAGCCTTCCAAATATTTCAGACATCAAATTATTACAGTGTCCTCGTCAGTATCTGTCTTTCCAAATACTTCCCTACTATTAAAGTCCTTGGATGCCTGACATTTACAAAAATGAACGCAGTTCTCTCTCCTCTTCGCTGTCCCTAAAATGAAATACTAGCAATGTTCTCTCCAAGTTAAGAGGTACACTTTCAGTACAGAGCTCCTCCTACCCTCTAGCACTAGAAGCAGCTCTATTATTAAAATGTCAGGGTCACTGCAGTTAGAAGACTACAATGTCCTGGGTCATCCATCTTCAACCAGCCCTTGTTCCTTTTTACCTGTGCCACTTGATTATGTTTCTCAGGGATGTTTTTTAGGTCCTTAGATGATACACAAACGATGTTCCCATCTACAGAAAGAAAAAAATAATTAATATAGTTTGACTCTTATTTAAAAGAAAATGTCTGGCATTTCAAATTCCCTTCTTCAAAGAAACATATGTAGATATGTAAAACCAAAGTGCCTAATTCAAACTCATGGCCATTTTTCAGAAAAAACTTAATTGCTTCCTGGTCTAGCCATTAAGCAGCTAATTCCTAATGGAGAAAGTCCTCAATATGTTCTCTCCTGCCACAAATGTACAATATGACAATGTCTGCTTTCTGTTCAGATTTTAAAAGGGAAATAAAATGTAATGGGTTTTGTTTTTCTATTACTAAATAATAGAACACTGACATCATACGCTCATTGAATTCAACACAAAACAGGGAAAAAAGCCAAGTGGCTGCCTTAAGGAACTATAGTTTAAGGCATATGGATTTTAAATAGTATGACTAATATAAAATGATGGTTTCAAGTAGATTTATTGAAAATGGGTAAATGGAAAGCTCAGGAATGGAATCTGGGAAGGGACACTAGAATTAAGTCTCAAAAATACGCCATTGTGTTCCCACCTAACAGGTACAATGTACAGGTATATGGCACACTTCCTGTGTGAAGGACTCAACTGCAACTCAGACACCTTACAAACACACAAAAATGTAACCTAATCATATGTACCCTCATATTAACCTAAAATTATTTAAAAAAAGAAGTATGCTATTGTGATTACCGTCACAAGTATACACCGCCCCTTCAAAAAAATTTTTTTTGAGATAGAGTCTCACTTTGTTGCCCTCAGTAGAGTATCATAGTGTCATAGCTCACAGCAACCTCAACTCCTGGGCTCAAGCAATCCCCTTGCCTCAGCCTCCTGAGTAGCTGGGTCTACAGGCACTCACCACCAATGCCTGGCTATATTTTGTTTTTTAAGACAGAGTCTCAAGCTGTCGCCTTGGGTAGAATATCATGACATCACAGCTCACAGCAATCTTAAATTCTTGGGCTTAAACAATTCTCTTGCCTCAGCCTCTCAAGTAGCTGGAACTACAGGTGCCTGCCACAATGCCCAGCTATTTTTTTTGTTGTTGTTGTTGTTGCAGTTATCATTGTTGTTTTAGCTGGCCCAGG